TTGAATGAAGTGCCCTACGCTCTTGACGGGGGCCCTATATGTTAACTTGCTCTGACGCACTGGATTATTCGGGGGTCCTCTGCGTTGGGTCTCGAATACTTCCTATTTGAACGGGGGGCCCTACGCTCTTTTTAGGAACCTTGTATGTTAACCTGCTCGGGCACACTCAATCATCCGGGGGCCCTCTACATTGGGTCTCGGGTATTCCCTATTTGAATGGAGGGCTGTACGCTCTTGATGGACACAATGCGTAGGGCTCTGAACGATCGAGGCGCCCGAGCAGGTTAACATATAGGGGCTCCATCCCTGTGCTCCAAATTTGACGGGAGCCACTTTGTTGGCCTCCTGCGGCACTCATGATCGTTCAGGTTTCGTTCTTATTGGCCTTAGTGCCTTCGCCTCAGAGCAGCGGTCGAATGTGCGCTGATGAATTTTCACGCGCCATTGCCGAACGCAATTTGACATGCCGCCGACGTCACATGTGTCATTTGCATTACCTATCGAGTGTGTGACACTTGTTAGACTAGTGCATCACGTTCTTAACATATTTCGAATGCTAGGATATGTTGTACTCCTATAAAACAGAGGAAAATGTATGCACTAGTCATCAGTCATCAACTGACTACATCGCCCAGCCGGCTAGCCGTAAAAACATAAGGTGAGAATCAAGTCCATGCTTGGTTTTGATGGTTGTTAGCTGCTACCTCAAATTTATTTCGCCTGTTGTTCCGAAACACTTAGCCTCAAAATCACAGCATTTAACATGATCTGTAGAAAGCGAGTCAGTCCTATGTGTATGTATGCGTAGCACGCCTAGCTTAATGAGGCCGTGCCTAGTAAGATGGGTTCCGTATTTATAAAATAAATGAATAAGCAAATGCATGGATGTATATATACATACTTATATATTCATTTACATTTATTTATTTGTATTAGCATTGCATATCACTTGTTTTAAAATGTAATGACCAAAATGCAAGGATATCTTTTGGAGAGGGGGGGGGGCAAACTCCAGGGGGCCCCACAATGTTGCATGCTTCACTCCTTGACGAAATGCTGGACCCGCCCCCGGTTGCAACTCCCTCTTGCGTACTGAAAAGTGAAATATGCTCACCATGGTGTGTTTAACATGTATATGTGCATAACTTACCATTATGTGCTTTTGTAAATATTTAGTGTATACATTTTCATACATCTCATACATTCATGTATTCACAAGAATGGTGCCCCCAATATGTAAGGAATTGTATCCCGTTTACATGAAGCTTCTCGACATGCTGAACTTCCATTGATGGAACATATGCACTTAAGCTGCTGTAAAAGAAAACGTAAGCACTCATCTATGCATTATTGCAGAAAATGGCTCACAACCTTTCCCCAAAACGCTTAGCTCTTTTTTACTTACGCTCAAACTCTTTTTTTAGCTCTTTTAGCTTAAACCGCTCTTTGTTTAATCCCTTGAGTGTTAATGACTTAACCGTGGCTGTTAACTGTGGCTTGCCGTTAAAAAACACACAACTGAAAAATCGAGAGGGATTGACAGGTAGTATTGCATTCAATGCTAATATTCATTTCGATAAAGGCATGCGGCCGAAATGCCAATGCATCTATCTGACCTTCCTCCCGGTTACTCTTCGAGGCATAAGGCTAACAGAACTGAGTTATCGAATCTGGATTAAATCACACTTTCATGTTGTGAGGGTTTCAGGATTCATGCGCATCCTGATTACAGGATTCAGGATTCATGCGCACGGCAGGTAATGGCACCATATTAAAGTGCGCAATCTTAGGCACCTAAATCAAATTGATTTTGTAGGCAGGGCATCGATCCCTTTGTTATGCTGATAAGGAACTGGCCCATGCTAAATCAAAATGGCTTTCATGATACGATATCAATCCTTTCAATGGAAATTCACGCGGACCACACGCAGTACAACAATGGTATAATAACCATCCATGTCGCCGCTCTATGAATAGCGCATGTATTTTCCACACGACTGTTACAATAAACTCATGCTCATCGTTGTGTTTACAGCGCATTTTTATGTGTCCAGTACATAGGTACAGGAACAGGCAGGGGCGGATCTAGCCTGGAGTAGTTGTTTTTTTTTTTTTGGAGGAGGGGGGAGGTAACCGTTCGTCGCCAGCTGGCTGGTGTGGGATCCGAGGTCCAGTGCATGGTGCCTCTCGCGAGTACCTAGTAGGTACACCATTCAAAACCGAAAAAGCACTGAAACGCTTTTGAATCTTAAACAAAAGTTATAACGAAACATTTCAAACAGTTAAAATTAAAACAGACGGTAAGTAGACAAAACTTTTATGACGTTCTGGGAATGTTTTTTAGGGGGCCAAAACATACTCTCAGAGATTTTGGGGGCCATGGCCCCGTGCCCCCCTCCCCCAGGATCCGCCTATGGGAACAGGGGGCCAAGGAGCTATGCCCCCCCCCCCCTCTTCCACACACTTCTCAACGTGTGGGAAGCAACGTCAACTGCCTCCCCCCTTTCAGATTTAAGTTGCGTTAGCTTTCTTTTACACTACCTTAAACACACATGCCAATTTACCTCGTTCATCAACCATCTTCCTCAACGCGCTGGCAACAATTGCCTCATGTCACAAATGACAGTATTATGTCATCATGACGTCACAAATGGCAGCATACTGTCTTGTACGGTGAACGGAGATGTTCGGGGAAAACCCGAGGTTCCTCTAGTACCAAAAGGCTACATTTTCCCCTGGTTCTATACCCTTGGTTCCCCTGCATGGCTGCTTGCTGTCCTCCCTGAATATGCTCATGGAACGCAAGATTTCACGCATCCATCTGAGAGCCTCTTGACCGACCACAGACCTTCGTGTAGCCAGAATGGCAACCGGAATGAACCTCAAAGTCAAAAAGTCAAAAATGAGAAGACGCTAACTCATGTTCGCCTGAGAACATTCATTCTTTTTCAGAATCGACTAGTGAAACAAACAACATCAAATAGCTTTAGACCCCACACGCTCACAATCTCAGGAACGAGAACAACGATGGCCGGGGTTCCAGTTTTCGTGAAACTGACCAGCGTTGGCAATTGCAGGTAGCACCAGACGGTGGGCGCCGTGAGCGCGAGAACGCCTGTCGTGAATGAAGAATGCTTCCGAATGTCTCAAAATGATTGACCATTGAATGACCAATGAATGAATGAGTGACCATTGAATGAATGACCATTGAAAGATTAGCCTGGGGAGAACTTTTAACGATGTTCGGGATGTCGTGTGGTCAAATTATCAGTTACAGCAACACGAAACTGAGAGCTTGTACCTTTAATATTCCAGTCCATCCACCAGATTCCAGCACCACTTCGCGGCGCTGTTGAGGTTAATCTGTCCGTATAATCAGTCTAGGCATAGCACAGGTCAAATAGACGTCCGCAGCCTCTTTCTGAGCGCACAAATTGATGCCCTAAGGCGTCCAAAAGCACTTTGTTTCACATGCGTCATCTTTTCCGTCCGCTTATTAATCACCGCTGTGCCTAGAAACGGCGTACCTCATGCCTAGCACCGGCGTATCTCGTGCCTAGCACCGGCGCATCTCACGCTGAGCACCGGTATATCTCATGCTGAGCACTAGCGCATCCCGCGCCTAGCACCGGCGTATCTCATGCCTAGCACGGGCGTACCTCATGCCTGGCACCGGCGCACCTCATGCCTAGTACCGGCGTATTTCACGCCTAGCACCGGCGTATCACATGCCTAGCACCGGCGTATCTCATGCCTAGTAAGGGCGTACCCCATGTCTAGAACGGGCGTATCTCATGCCTAGCACGGGCGTACCTCATGCCTGGCACCGGCGCACCTCATGCCTAGCACCGGCGTATCACATGCCTAGCACCGGCGTATCTCATGCCTAGTAAGGGCGTACCTCATGTCTAGCACGGGCGTATCTCATGCCTAGCGCGGGCGCACCTCATGCCAGGCACCGGCGCACCTCATGCCTAGCACCGGCGTATCACATGCCTAGCACCGGCGTATCTCATGCCTAGTAAGGGCGTACCTCATGTCTAGCACGGGCGTACCTCATGCCTAGCACGGGCGTACCTCATGCCTGGCACCGGCGCACCTCATGCCTAGCACCGGCGTATCACATGCCTAGCACCGGCGTATCACATGCCTAGCACCGGCGTATCTCATGCTGAGCACCGGCGTATCTCATGTGCTGAGCACAGGCGTATCTCAAGTTGAGCACCGGCTTATCTCATGCTGAGCACCGGCGTATCTCACGCTTAGCACCTCTCCCCTAATGGCCAAAGGGGGCTTATGGGCTTAGACGAGGCGGTCCGCCATCGGAAAGATCCTGAATGTGCATACTATGATGCGCAATGCAGCATGTTGTATCGCATTCAAGAAGCGCTCGACTGACTCACACGCACCGTCGTTAATAGAGGAAGCGGAGCCGAGCTTGGACCTGATCAAGGAATGATTAAGCGTGGCTGCGAAAATCTCAAGTACACAAACGGGCAGATGTTTGACCAGATCGTCGTGCTGGCGCAGTGCACTCCATATCCCGCAGGGACAGACCCAGATAGCAAACAGCAGGCCCGCAGGCCCGATAACAGCAGGCCCGGATGAAGCAATCTTATCTAGCAGTGGCAGACGTGGATGCTGCACTCTACCCATCCAGCAGTAGCAGACCCCGGAGGCACATCATTCAACTCCAGCATCCGTATACCAGCGCTGTATTGCACAAACTAATTAGGAAGTTTACTGGCATTCCCACCCATACATTGCGGCTCTTAGCCTTCCCAGAACCGGATCGTTTGAAGAGGTCACTCTTGGTACTACCAGTGGCATAATTTCACGTGGCGTATCACTCGGCATGCGAGCTCCCCACAGTCAGCATCGTATGGATGGCGTGCATGACCCTAGATCAAGGATACGAGTCACACAGTTAAGCTTTTGCGTGTTCATTTCCTGTTACACGCCATATTACGCGCCGGCAACGACACCCAATGGCGACGTACCTTGTGTTAGTGATAGAGAGAGCAACAGCCCTTAGTTGCCGTTGTCGCCGGGGCTTTACGATGCGCTCGCCAGTCTCTTATCCCCACAGTAAGCCCGGGCAGCGCAGAGAATCGAGCCCGTAGCTCTGGTCTCTAAGGCAAGCAGTTAACCCACTGCAACCCTAGAAGGTCCTCAGTAGCTTCCGTCCTGTGACACAGATCTTGCCCCGACGCCTTCTGTTCGCTGGCTGCTCAACTGCATCCGCCACAGCTCTCCGGAGAGCTACTGACGCACGTGAGCCGGTGCCACTGGTGCCGTCAGACCGAGGCAGCCGCCAGCCGTAGGGACGTCACGGGCGCCGAGTGACGCCACCCAGCACACGCTCGTGAAGGTCCACAACCTGGCTTAAAGCTTCGCGGAACCAGCTGGGTGATTTATCACAGATTACAAGAGCAATAGGAGACAGCCTGCAAGCATTCCACTCGTCCAAGCCGCTCCGCGTCTCAGTGGAGACGTGTGACATCGCGCCATGTCAGCAGTTCGCAGCCCGCCGAAGGACGTGAAGGTGGTCACCGTGCCATTTCAGCGCACCACCCCGCTTCTGGGTCCAAAACGTCGGATCTCCGAACACCTTACACCGAACGACCGCCGGCTCCTCGCACGGCTCCAACTTCCCATATGACATGCATCAGACGCTGCACTCCAGCGGGAAGAAAAGCGCCATCAGGCGCCGTCCTCCAGCGGGAAGAAGACTGGCATCAGACGTTGGTACGCCTTCACATCTTGTTCGAGAAAAAGACAGAACACGACGCGGTCCAGCTCGTCGGCGTGTTGCTCCAGCTCGGCGCGCACCGTGGCCAGCGCCACGCGCGCCGCCGCCTCGTTCGGGTAGCCGAACACGCCGGTCGACACGCATGGAAACGCTAGCGAACGGAGGCCGTGGCGGCGCGCCAGCTCCAGGCACCCGGCGTAGCAGCGTCGCAGGAGGTCTGGCTTCTCGCCCACCGGCCCGACAGTGTGCAGCACGTGGCGCGCCGGCAGCCGGTAGCCCTGTGTGAGCTTCACCTCGCCGGTGTCGCAGCCGCGCAGCGCGGCACACTCTGCACGCAGCTGCGGCCCAGCCGCCGCGTGGATGGCGCCGTCCACGCCGCCGCCGCCCAGCAGCGAGCGGTTGGCCGCGTTCACCACGGCGTCCAGCTCCAGCCGCGTGATGTCGCCACGCCAGAGCGACACTTTGTCCGCCAGCTTGTTACTGGGCGATACCGCGGCCGCCTCGGACGGAGCGCCGGCGACCTTCTCGCGGCTGTGCTGCAGCCAGGTGGGGATGCTGGAGAGTGTGACGTAATTGTTGCCACAGCGGTAGTTGCGCCGTCGCTCAGCCAGCAGCGACTGCCGCACAGCCTTGAAATCTGTACCAGATGATTCAAACGTGCTCATGGCTCCGTGAAAGACTGTCCAATAAAACAGGGAGCCTGCAGGCAGACAGGGTCAGGAGCATTGGTAATAAAGGTACCAAGATACCGATCATACAGGACCATGCCCGCAAAGGCCACCTTTACTGAGCACACTGATCACATGGAATCATACAGGGACCACAAGTTGAATAAAGGCTTTGATGTTTTTATTCTGCTCACTCTTTACAAAGAAAGCTTATGTCCACATTACATACTTGACCAGCCTTACTGGCAGAGGCAGACACAAGTGTGCCATTCAAATAACATACAGCAAGCAACACATTCAATGATGTCTGAATTATAGGAACATCCAGATAGTCAAAGCTCCGGCATATTAAAGGAAACATCCAACTGAAAGATTGAGCACTACTCTGTAATGGATTCTACAAACATGTACTTGAAAACAGGGCACAACTACATTAAACAAAAGTAGAAACTAAGAAATAGGTTGAACCTGATTTAGCATCACTCCTGGCAAGAAAGTACTGTAAAATACCCAGCAAATATCACACTAGTGGTTTCATTCATCACAAAAGAGGTACTGTAAAGTATGATACAAATTTTGCACTAATAGCTACACAATAACAACTGAATAAACTGTAGCACATAGAATACGACCAAACATATCACGCTTGACCCCTTTTTGTTAGACGACCTAGGCTTATGCCGTTCAATTCTTTGAAAGCATCTTTGGCTTCTAACATTAACTTAGTACATGTTTTAGCTTTTTTAACCTTTATAGCTTATCACTCAACTAATCAATGAAAAAGAAGAAATTGCTGCATCTGTAAACAAATACCCCAGAACACATCATGTCACTTTCCATGACACAGCTTTCTCTAAGGAGAAACTAGTGTGTGCTGTTGTCATCCAAGCTCCTGCATGTTAGGCGAGTCTGCCAAAAGTAGAAGGGTTTTCATGAAGCAACACCTGAATCGGCACAACAGGATTAATATGGCCTGCAAATACGCAGTAACTTTCGGGCATGAGTACCTGGTTTTAAGGTATCTATAAAGTTTAACAAGTACTTACCACGAACGCCACACTTCGATATCATCTCACGCAATGCCGAAGGATTCAAGGACTTGTTGGACTTGGCCGCGGCTGATCCTCCGCGCCGCCTACCAACAGGTGGCGGCCGGCCGGCGGCCGCCCGCCCGGCGAACAACAGCAAGGTGCACCCGAGCAAGCGGGGGCGGCTGGCGGCCGGCTGGTCGATCATTGACAAGTTCAACAACGGACCTCCCGGCAAATCAGATCACCCAAAATATTACAAACGTAGCACGCGTGCATGTGTATGTGAAAATGGCAGGGTGTAACGACCGTCTCACCGTTTTCAGGTTCATTCTCGTGCATTAGGAGGCGCCACTTCGACTGGATTAGGAGGCGCCACTCCAAGTCCAGCAAGTGACTTTCCTGCAGGTGATATACCAGTACGGCCAAAACGACACAAACATGGCACGTGTGCACACATCTGACGCATGGAGACACTTGTCTACCATTCTATCGTTCTGGGATTTAAGATACTATTGTATACGCCGTGTGGGCGGCTGGCGGCCGGTCTGTCGAAATTGCGAAGTCCAGCAACGGACCTCTCGGCAAATAAGGTGCAACACCGCCCAATCTGGTGCAAGCGTAGCACATGTACGTGCGTGGTTAAGTAGTAGAGCTGTAACGAATGTCTCATCGCTTTTGGGTCCATTCTCACGCATTAGGAGGCGCCACTGCGGCTGGATTGCTCCAAGTTCATTGAAGGACCTCCCTGCTTGATGGAAGCAAGACCCGCCAAAACGGGACAAACGTGGCACGTGTGCACGCATTTCTCGCATGGGGCAGGTATCGGCCATCTGATGTCAGGTGACTGGCATTAATAAGCTTCTATTTTAAAACTGCTCTGAGTGGCGGGCGTCGGCCCGGTCGAAAATTGTGTCCAGACCAACAACGGAGCTCCCCACAAGTTGGACGAAGGACCACCCAAACTGGTACAAACGTAGCAAGTGCGCACGCAGACGCCCAAATGCCAAGATGTGACGACCGTGTCATCGTTTTCGGGTCCATCCTCACCCATAATGAGTTGCAACATCAGCTGATTTGCGCAAGCCCACTAAGAGACCTTCCTGCAGGCTAGATGCAAAACCGGCCAAGCCGGCGCAAACGACGTGCGTGTGCACATGTGTCAGTTATGGAGATATGTTTGGACCATTATACTGCTTTCTAAATGGAGACATGTTTCCGTTTTAAAAGTGCTCTGGGTGACAGTCAGCCGGACGGTCGAGGGCCGCCACGTATCCAGTAATGCATCTCCCTGTAGGTCAGATGCAAGACCGCCGAAACTCACAATAGGAAGGCTCCTGCCCCACCTCGCGTGCAGAGAGGTCACTTATTGGACTTAGAGCAATCCAGTCGAAATGACGCCTCCTAATGCGTGAGAATGGACCCAAAAGCGATGAGACGGTCGTTACAGCTCGGCCATTTTAATACTCATGCACACATGTTATGTTCGTAAAAGTTTGGGTGGTCTAATTTTCCGGAAAGTTTACTGCTGGACTTAGCAATTATCGACCAGCCGGCCGCCAGCCGCGTCCGCTCCCGCTCAGGTGCACCTTGCCGCCGCATCACCTGTGGTGGTGGGCGGTGGGAATGAGGACCTTGAAGATACCTGGCCCGAAAATTAGGCAGGGGATCGTTGGGTATCAAAAATTGAGACGTACCTTGCATGGTCACTGATCTACGGCAGGTCAAAGTCAGCCCATTGATTTATCGGAAACGATTTCTGGGAAATCGTTAAATATGATTGTGCGAGTGCCGAGTATAGCGCGCGAGTAGTAGTATCTAGACCGAACGATAGATGGCAGAGTGTCTCGCGGAATACAGGAATAGTCTAGTTCCGACCGCCGACTGGTGTGGACATTCGCGGAGACAGACTCGAACAATGATATAAAAGCGGAATCCTAGACGAATGTCTACATCTGTGATAGTTTCCTAGGCCACGTAAGAGCTGAATCAACAAATTCAGTTGACCTAGGGTCAGGTGTGATGGTCAAGCCTAGGCCAAAGCCAGCCAGGCTTATCACGCGAGTGCTTGCTGTATGGGGTAGTTTATGGTGCTCCTTTTTTTATAAATTTGACCCGATCCCTTTGAATGGATGGATTTCTGGAATCAGCGCTCACGCTTAACAGTGCTTGTTGTGTGAGCCCTGACCCACCCCCACCATCCGATCGCGCAATTCCAGGCAACGGCAGAATTAAGTGGCGAAAGCTTAATGTAATGAGACGCCAAATGTTTCACCACATCTTCTCTGCATTGTAGTCTCGCACCGTCAGGGGCTGCAGCCCCTGACGGTGCATCTGCACTCGCTGTTCTCCCAACGGTGACTCCCCAACAGCGGGGGCCGCGAGCCGAGGCCGTGCGAACGAGCCGGGGCCGCGAGCCGGGACCGTGCGAACTGTGGCGGCGGCGCGCCTCTGCCGCGCAGCCGGGGCCGGCCTGCGAACCTGACCACGTGCCGCGCCCCGCCCCAGCAGGGGCGCAGGACACAAAGAACAACTGCACTACGAACACGGTGCACCGTCAGGGGGCTGCGGCCCCTGACGGTGCGGGACTAAAATACAGAGAAGATGTGGTGAAACAAGTGGCGTCTCATTACAAGCTATTTCGGCAAAATTGACTGACTTGAGAAAGTGGAGACAGCTACACGTGCGAGGGTACCAGACAAGTGACTGTGAGCACAGTGTCGGGTGCGGCCCGAATAGAGGTGCTTGTGACTGTCAGTGGGCCGCTGAACTTCGGGTTCATTCTGGGAATGAACGGCGCGAGGGCGCTTCGGGGCGTGTCCGTCAGTGCGTCGAATGCAGTACAGTTCGGGGTCGATGCGCTGCCGGCTGGGTAGGCGTCTCCGGTACTGGCAGCGGCATGTGATGCGAGCGCAGTCGCTGCCATGTCACCCGAGCCGGCCGGCCATGGCTGGAGGTAGAGGCGGAGCTGACGCGGCAACAGGCGGAGGTAGAGGCGGAGCTGGCGCGGGAACAGGCGGAGGCTGAGGCGGAGCTGGCGCGGCAACAGGCGGAGCTGGCGCGGCAACAGGCGGAGGCAAAGGCAGCTCTCGAAGCTCAGGAGCTGAAGGATGAAGCGGAGCGCCGCCAGGTGGAGCGGTGGAGCGGTGGACCAGCCTCCCGCGGCCGGTGGAGCGGTGGAGCAGCCACCCGCGACCGGTGGAGCGCTGGAGCAGCCTCCCGCGACCGGTGGGGCGGTGGAGCGGTCTCCCGCGGCCG